TATGTATGTATGTATGTGTGTATGTGTGTATGTGTATATATATATATATATGCCATAATAAATATTTCAGCTATATTCAAAATAAAACTGTCCAGTATCTAATTGTCACGGTTCAATGACTGACCACTACCTTATGCTATGCATTATGTATCTTGATACAAGTCTAATTTCACAGCAGGAAACACATTATGATTTACCATGGTCTAGAATCAGAATCAGAAATTGTTTAGTTACAGATGCACCCTTAAAATATTTATATGAACCAGAGAAACCCCTTAAATAAAGTGTAAATATAATTAAGACAAAGGCAATCAAAGTGTCATATTAAATTAGGAGTAAGTTTTAAAACATACTATGTACAATATAAATAAATGAAAGTGAAAATAGTCTATGTCCACGCAAGGATAAGGATACTAATAGTATTGGTTTGAGAAGTATGTACTTCTTAAACCAATATATAAATGCTTAATAGGAATGTTTGCTAACCCCTCCCAAAAACAGCAGTCTTTTTGACGAACAAAACACACCTTTGTTCTACTGTAACTTGCCTGGCGAAAGGGGAATTTATGCTTATCCGCACTGCCGGGAGAATATCTCATTCATATAAACCTAACAATTCCATAAAACTTGTAAAATCAAACACAATTAAAGTAACTAAAGTGACTGGCCACCACCTTAGGCTATGCATTAGGCCTCTCCATTAATTTTACTTTCAGGTTTTGTCCCTAGCTAAATATAAATAAATAAATCAATAAATAAATAAATAAATAAATTCCCTCTTCACATTAGGCAATCGACATCAGTGCTGGTTTTTAAATCCAGATTGAAAACGCATTTTTGTTCACTGGCTTTTGACTCAGTGGTTGACTGACTTGTATTTACTCGTATTTTATTGTTTTCGCTATGTTTATTATTTTATCTTATTTATTATTCCTATGGTATCTATTATGTTTCTATTGTTCAGCACTTTCGTCAGCCTTGTGTGTTTTTAAATTGCTATATAAATAAACGATGATGATGATGATGAAATATTTTAGGCGTTTGTTAATATACTATGATGACTTATTTCTGTAATGTTTCATTCCCCTCCCAAATTTATTTTTACCATTAATTGAGTGACAAAAAAATCACACATCCTAATTCCACTTTATAACAGTCTTTGACAATATGTTGTGAATAAAAAGCTTTGTCAGGTTAAAAAAAATATAACCTATTCTTTCTGTACGGGACAGTAACATTGCGCATGCTCGGTACATCTTGCTTGGTAACTTGGATAATGGCCGCTAGGTAAGATGAGCGGATGGGCCGCGTCGTTTCAGCGTGAAGTGCTCACTCCGGGAGGACCGTTAACTCGGGCGGTGGCGAGTTAAAATGGTCGATATCCGACCCGTAAGGCATCCAGAAACAGTTGTACATTGTGCGAACATCGTCATTCAAACGTAAGTTCTTATTTTTTTAAAGAAATTTGTCTACGTGCCATAACTGGTTGCTAGCCGAGTGTCCCAGTCTGCTACATTTGGGCTTACTTGCTTAGGGGAGCAGGTTATGGTAATCCTCAAGCGTTATAAGCTAGAACATTTTATGTGAACATGTGCGAAGGCTAGCGCCTTAATTTGTAAGGTCAAAAGCAAGCTGATTCGTTCGGAGTGTTTTATTTCCCGCTGTGTTAAACATAAGCTAGGTTGTTGTTGTTGTTAGTAGTTCCTCGGCTCGGTGACAGTGATGCTAGCTGAAAGCGTTAGCTTGATGCAGCTCATCACATAGCGCACGTACGCTGTCATAGCTCGCTATTTCTATCACTTTTGCATCCACCAAACTGCGTGGAAACCGTAGGCATACATTGTCATGTCTGTTATAAGTATTCGTGGACGATACAGACCAGTATAGCAAGCAAAATATTGCCGTATTTGCGGCGTAATTGCGAGAATTTATTTCCGTCGAGACAGAGGGGTTACTAGAGTTCATGGCGTAGCACAGTCGTTGCAGCACTCACTCATCCATAACATTTTCATTGCCGGTGCTTCAGTTAAACTAGTAAATGGTATGCAGCCATTAGACCAAATACACTACAATATACCCTACAGCTGTCAAAGGATTACAACGGATAAAAATTAATTGGTAGACGGCCTTGTTATATAAATTCAGATTCTGCAAAGTGATGTCTGTCTGGGCAGTGATAGTCGTGGTAAATTTAAAGTTATGTAAGTTAACGGGATCCTGCTACGGGATGCTGGGATAAGAGATGGAAACACTGCTGTTGGCAACTCAAGAAGGAAAAGAAATGTAAGAGCTTTGTTTAAATGGAGTGGATTGAAACTTCGTCACGTTTCTTTTTTTTTAAAAACTAGCACTCACAGTGAAATGTTCCTCTAAAACTTCACGCAGGTATTAAAGGGCACTTAAACGAAGGGTTTGTAAGCAGCTAATTTTTTTTTTTAAAAGTGCAGTAGATATATTGTTTGGAAAAGGCCAGGAAAAAAGAGGGCAACATGTTGCTCTGTGGAATTCACTTTTGTGAGGCTTTGAATTTCCTTAAGCTCCAGCGCTTTTGGGTGAGAGCCTGGTTAACAATTGCTGATTTGTTGGAGAGCCTCGAGTTTTTCAAACATGCTCAGATTGCCTTGGAGTAATTCATGATCACTGTGAGAGGTTTCATCATTTTGAGGTTAATACGTTAGAAATAATATATTGAGTTGCATTGATTACATTTGGTGTGTTTGCTTTGCATCATGCAGTAGTGGCAGTGATGGGATTTAGTAGGTGGGAGGAAACAAAACTGAAATGCAATCTTTAAACAAATCTTTTTGTTTTAATAACTTCAACATTTGTGTAAGAGATGTTTTATGCCATTTTTTAATAGCATTTCATAACTTTGAGGTCAGTCGTTGAAATGGTTGAAAACCTGTACATATTCAAGAATTTTCCTACATTGAACAACCTTTAGCACCCACCAAATCATCAGAAAATGTAGTCAAACTAATTTTAATCTGTTCTGTTAATGCAGTTGCCATTTACTCAAGCATATAAAACATTTTTGTTTATCAAATAAGTAGGGAAATCCAGAGATAGGGTAACTGACTGTATGCTAACTGATCATGCTTATATGTCCACCAAAAGCCCATTTTAAGCCAGGATAACACTGATATTGGCTAGTGTATGTATAGAACCATAGATGCGAGTTAAAAAAAAATTTTTTTCTTTAATCCCATCCATTAGATTTTCCATCAGGATCTGTGTTGGTATAATAAGTCAACATATTCTTTCTTTATATATTTCATGTTTTGTAAACTGTTTTGACTTGTAGAAATTGTATTTTGTATGTGTTTATATCCGCCACCGCATTGCTCACCCCCAGATAGTGTTAATAAAGGTGTAAGTAAACCAAGAAATTATTTTGGCAAAGAGAGAAGAAGTGTAACCATTCTGTCAGCGCAACAGAACAGTATGTGGGCTTTTTTTAAAATGTGAACTGCAGATTTTGCAAGTATGCCTCTTATGCCATTTGTCAGACTTGACCTTTTGAGTTGCACCTGCATTAAAACATCTGAATGTGTTACCACATGCTGTACTTTCAGTTTCCCATGGTGGATTCTGTGCTGTTGGTGATTGTGTGGTAGCAAATAGAAAGGACTGGACAAATTTACATGTCTAGGTTGATTATTGACCCACAGATTTGACTATGCAAATTACAGTTGTGGGTGAAGCTGTTTTTAGCTGGGTCAACCGTGCAATGTTTCTTTGGAATCTTGGTAATAATAACCTATTCAAGACTAGCTGTTGTTCCCAGGATCAAGTTTCCGGCATTCCTGTATGGGTGGATGACGGTAAAAAAGTGAATTGTGGCTGACAGTAGTGCTTTCTGCCTGAACCTATAAAAATACTGTTGGCAGCATTTTGAGAATTTCTTGTTGGTTATTATTGCAACAGCCTTCTTAAAATCATGTCAAAATTATCTGGTAGCTTCATCATTATTAGGATTTTTATGCGTGATATCTGTTTGTAGACTTATAATTGTATGTAATTATACATGTATATTGTATATTGAGGTAGGATCAAATGAGTTTACCTTTAAGTCTGTTTGTACCAACCCTTTCTTTGTCTCATTATTGTTTAAAGTGTATTTTGTTGTTATTTTAGTCATGTTCAAAATAAATCAATCATTCAGTGACAAAAAAAAGAGTTCTTATGTACACAGCATCACTCGATTGGCTTTAGTTAAGATGGTAAGAAAATGGTCAATGTTTCCCAGCTGTATGGCACTTAATGTTAGTACTGTGCTTGAATAAATAAGTACATATTTAGGCATGGGCAAAAGAAGTAGTGTGTTAAACTAATCTGCAATTTATTGATATAAATCAACAGTTAACTGTTGTTCCTGAGCTGTTATGACACCACAACCACTAACCGAAAGATGTGGCATATGGCAGCAACCATCTTGATCTCTGTGACAGGAAGTTGTAAACAAGCAAGGTAAAAAGTAAGACATGACACTAACCAGTGTGGTTCTGCAGTACTTTGATTTAGAAAATGAGGGGCTGTATGTAGGTTTCAGGGTAAAGTGATAACTACTGGAAGTAGTGGGTAACCCTTTTTGGCATAGGTTTGTGTGTTGTGGATGGTGCCAATACTTATATTCTGTTCTGACTAGTGAATTAGTTACCTTAGTTATTCTGTTATGCTGTTGTGGCAAAGGGGTTTCCTTCATTTAGAAAAAAATAAAATATGTCCACCAAAGATGTTTTGGGTATTCTAGCAAAGCAAAATACCAAGATAGCAAAATGGACTTTCTATTTTCTGTTGTATTTGTTTATAAAGTAGCCAAAAACTTCCTTTAAGTAAGGTAACTGCAGTTATTTGTCTCTGGACCCATTGTACTTCAGTCAATAGTCTCATTGAAAGTCCTGTTTGCATCAGGAAAAAAACAAAACACTGTCAGTATGCTAGCCTTTAGAGACTTTAAAATGATTTACGGTCATGTTAATAACTTATTATAAAAATTTGTGGTAATAATGTAACAATTGTTGAGTTTTACCTTTACGTTTAGACCACAAATGAATGAGACAGTTTTGTGATTGACCTCTTAAGTCTTTCGTCTTTTCTTCTGTCTTTTCTTCCTCTGTAGCTCACAGCTTTTCCTTTGACCTTTATAATAACTGAATTTATATTTTGTTGCCTTTGTTTTGGCTTTCATCTCTCTTTCTGTTTTCCTACTCTCACCTCCTATAACTGCTTCATATTAAGACTCCATCTTCCTTTTTTTTTTATTTGCATTTTCTCTCTTTTGCTACAGACCACCCACTATTAACATCACGTCTTAGTGGTCAGTTCTGCCTACGGATCAGAGCTTAAACTGAAACCATGGCAGTGAAGGACCGCGTAGAGGCTGTGCTCAATGTGGGTCTGCGTGTTCCCAGCATCATGCTGTTGGATGTCCTCTACCGCTGGGATGTCAGCTCCTTCTTCCAGAAGATCCAGCGCTCCAGCCTTTCCAATAACCCCCTTTTTCAGTACAAGTATCTGGCCCTCTACCTGCACTACGTAGGTCAGTGCCACCTTTCCTGTATTAAAACTTAAGAAAATGTTTGGTGTAACTGAGACACTTTGTTTAAATGCTTTGCAATGTCTGTACCACATTAAAGAGTTCCTCATTTGAAAACATCATGTGTACTTCCCTGTAGTCAGGTTACCATGACCTGCACTGAAACAGTATTATATGCCATGCATTACTGTTTTACCTCTGTTGGTTGAAAGTGCGTGATTTCTTTTTCCATTCAGAAGTGTCGACTCACGTGCGGTATTAGTCAGTAAGTCACGAGGCTCAGCTCTGTAGTGATTGAGAGGGATTATTTGACAGTGTGGCGATCGTGGCTCAAGAGTTGGGAGTTCGCCTTGTAATCGGAAGGTTGCCGGTTT